CGGGCAAGGTCGGCCGTAGCTACAATCGTGTAGCTGTACAAACAGGGACGTTGGGTCGTTCGGTTCGGTTTGCTCTGCGGCCGTTGCGAGCGTTGGGAAACTGGAAAAGTTATTCACTTTCCAAAATTATTATTCACAAAGGAAACAGTAGAAAAAAAAAACATAATGTGAGCATTTATTTGATTGCAGATTAGATTTAGCTGTGGCTGTGATCATTATCAGTGTTTGCTCTTAGTTCAGCCTACAAATGAACACTGTATTTCAGAGTAGCATATTCGCATGACTTTATGATTTTTTGAGTGAATGCAATCCTTCTACATGTTTTCAGAAAGCAACTCTTTTGATTTTCAGTTCATCAAATTCTTCTTATTTACTATAGTAAATGGTATACCACCAAATTTTAGATGGCGTTTTTTAAGAGGACTTTTTTTTTCAAATTTGCCAGTTTTGGAACTCTTTTTCCTTTTGAGTTAGGCAAAGTCATGCTCATCAAGGACTATTAATTAATTGCTAATCCAAGTGGGTGGAATGTACCAAGTAGATGAAATTTTTCTGTTTTAGAGGACAACACACAGCTGGACCTTTGTTGGAAAAACAAAACTGTTACACATGTTTACTATTTATAGTTTATTTCATGCATTTGGTGTACAAGGTCCTTCTTATAATTTGTTCTAAAACTTCTTTTAATACACCTATATTTGTCTCTCTCTCTCTTTTTATTTTGACAAAGGACATGTAGGTTCTGTTTAACTACGCAATGGTACATGAATTACATATCATAGACAATTTAGAAATTAAATCTTATCTTAGTAGAATTATAACATAATCAAAGCCAGATGTTGTACAAGACTGGTGATTAATTTAAATAGTATCACAGTACTTCATTATGGGTAAATGATTACCATGGTCAGTTTTATGGGTATGCTCTAAAATTAATTTAAAGCTTTTACTTTGTTCCATACATAATCAAAGGCAGGTAATCAAGTGGAACATTTTATAATGATAAGAAAGAACAGGGTGAATATATATTCAGTGTTGACTTTCAAATGAATACATGGGAACAGACATAATACTTAAGTTACTGCAGGAATTCATTCCTGCTTCAAATAAATTCATGGTACAAAAAAAATGGGAGTTGTTGTCAGATGTGTACCATTAAATATTGATGTAAAATATTGATGCAATAGTTGTTGTGGTATTTGCTGAGATAAAGTATGCCCCTAAAGTTTCTGCTAAAACAATGATAGAGATGTCCTAAATGGCTCAGGGACTGCCATTTGGTCCACCTGTGTCATTAATGCAGTTCAGTTGAAGCCTCAACAGCCAAAGCATCAATCTGGAACAAAATTTTACTTATTTTGAATACTGTTAATATTATTTCAGCACAGCACATTAACTGTACAAATATGACTTACTGGAATTGACAACATCCTACTTAAACAGTTTTTTTGCGTAGCACCACACTTTGAAAAAGTATTCATCCTTCCTGAGTAAGGAACCCTTAGCATATGTCTCAATATCAGCATCCATATTATTATCACGCATCCATGATGATGTTGTTGGTTCAGTGCTAAAACTAACTGAGGGGGTATCTTTATCAGTTGCCTCTCCTCGCTCATAATCAGCAGCATCCAATTCTGAAATATTGAGAAGATAATAGGGCATCAGAATTTAGCTGTCCAGAAAAATGGGGTGGGTGAGTTGGGAAAAGGGGGAGATGGGAGCAGACAAATTATAATCTCTTACCAGAAGGCTTTAGTACTTTGAAAGGCTCCTCGGATTCCAAAGGCTCACTAGAACCTACTTCATTTACCGCAAAAATTCGTATGAGGTACTCATGGTTTTCCTAAATAGAAGTTAAGAAATTAGGGTTTTGTAAAGAAGAAACAAATTTCAAAGTTATGTTTTTGACATACTTGGAGATCTTTGATGGTCAGTTTTTGTACATCAGCTTTCACACGTCCAACTTCCATCCACATAGTTTTCCTAGTGTCTCTAATTGCAATTGTGTAACCTGTCAAAGGTGAGCCCCCATCAGATTCTGGAGTGCCCCATTCTATAACAACTGCATATGGCCCAACAGCCAAAATTTCTAAAGGTGCAGTAGGAGGTGACGGTGGTGCTGTCCAAAAATACAGAAAAATTAATTGAGAAAACGAAGTAACACAGAAAACAAGTAATTTCAATAGAACTTAATTTTTTACTATGAAGTTTCGACAGCTTACATGCATGAGTCTTCAGACAAACTCGATCTGTTGATGCTGGTGGACTTAGACCAACAGAATTTTCAGCTAAAACTCTGAAAGAAAATTCAGATTTTTCTTTCAAATTTTCACAACAATAATGATTGCAGCTGGGGTCCAGTGTTGCTATCTTAAGCCACTTCTGGCTCTCTTGATCTTGACGTTCAACAATATATCCTGTAACAAAAGCGGTATAAGAGGAAAAGAGTTATGTGCAGTTACTTTATTAAACTTTTAAAATGGTTGAAGAAAAACTATACAAAACCTGTTAAGTCAGTGCCGCCAAGGTTTTCTGGGGGTCCCCACTGAAGGGTAACACTGCGGCTTGTCACATCAGTAACAGTCAAGTTTGTTGGGGCTGATGGGGATGCTGTGAAAAGCAAGGCAAAATTGTTAATCGTATTCTCTTTGTGGAACTTAATATATAGATAAGGTATAGGTTTTTCAAGTTTAATGGAGTAAACAGTAAGTATAAATTTGTATTTACAAAGAGTATGCAAAAGCAAAGCATGTATAAGCAGCTGTTCAGCAAATTTTACTTACCCCTTTGCTCTTTTATTAAAGCAGCTCTTACTGGTTGAATTTTAACCATGGGTCGTGGAGGGAGCTTTTCCCTTGGCTTAGCTTTAAGCATACTAAGGGTGGTCACACTATCTAATGAAGCAGTAGGAGGCACAGTTTGTTTGGTCTTAATAGGAGATTTCTCAGTGTCAGATTTATCATTCTGGGCTGAAGTTTCCTTGCTTGTGGTGGATTCAGATCCACTTACTGGGAAAAATGTGAGGATTGTTCTCAAATCCTCACCAGAAACATTTTTAAATTTTGATGCATTAATATTTTTGCCTGGCGGGGCTTTATTTCTGTTCACTTCATATTCTGAAGCAAAGGAATCCTTACGGTTTTCAATCACTAGGTATGAAGGTGATAGTTCTGATGTAACAGGAAGACTTAAAGGCATTTCCAACGAGCCCTCAGCAAATGTGATTAACGCCCCACTAGACACTTTCCGAGCAGAAAAATCTATTGAAGTAGACCTCCGTTGTGAAACATGGCTTGGCACTGTGTCTGGATCCAGAGAGTGTGGGATGGGTGATGAGGATCTCGGAGAGACAGGGGGCGATAATCCACCCTGACTAGGAGCAGGTGACAGAGGACGTGGTGGGAGTGAGCTCAATGCTGGAGACAGTAAACTAGCTGGCACCCCCCTACTAGGCCCTTCTGACACAACAAGTGAAGGGCGTGGTGCGCGGGTTGGTGGAAATGATGGTGGCTTCAAGCGTGGTTTGGGACGTGGCAAAATGATGGTTGGTATTTCTTCCTCTTCATTTTCATCTTTGATTTTTGATTTGGATTGTAGACCTGGCGAATTAGCGAATGGTAAGCAAAGCAGCAAGAGAGTAGAAAATAATGCAGAAGCACAGAATTGAGAGCTCAACAGAAGCAGTCAAGAGGAAAAAAAATAGAAACAAAATACTGATTTAGTAAGTAAAACATAAATCAAGTTACCGTGCATGCTTTCCTACACAATAATAGAACACACAGTAAACGTTAACAAGCCAATAAAAACTTACTTATCATTTTTCCAGCAGTGATAGCTTCCTCAGGAGCATATGGAGGACCATTTCCAACTATATTTGATGCAGTGACACGGAAGTTGTAAGGTGTGTTCGCTTTAAGGCCTGGAACTTCAATGAATGTAACATCTCCTGATGTTGTTCCCACCTGAAAAAGTAAGAAAAGTTATTGAAAATGTTAACATTTCAACTTAAATACTGAATCAACATACCAACTGTAATTGCAGCAATAGCTTATTTACCTTCTGCCATGCTTTTTTCCCAACTTCACGTCTCTCAAGAAGATATTCAAGTATTGGTGATCCACCATCACTTTCAGGAGGCTGCCATTTTAATGTAAATGAGGATTCTGTCATGCTTGATATTTCAAATGGTCCTCGAGGAGCAGAAGGTTTAGAGGCAATGGCAATGCGAACGAAACGGGTTGCTGGAGACGGTTCTCCTGGCCCAGCCTCATTTACAGCTATTACTCGGAATGTCAATTCGGAGTTCATGACTAAGTTAGTTACTTTATGAGTAGTCTCAATAATATGAGTATTTTTGCATGCATTTGTCCATCTGTAAGTTTCATACAATACAATAAAACAGAAGGGGTACTGTAAGAGTTCAGTCCAAAAACAAATGATATTGTGTACTTACGCAAACTCTCCACGCGCATGGTATTCAATAATATATTCTGTGATTGGTGAGTTGCCTTCAGATTCTGGTGCTTTCCAACGCAAAGTGATGCTGTCATTAGTGACTTCCAGCACTTCAGGGGTTCCAGGTGCACCAGGTGGTTCTAAAAACAGAAAAAGACAACACAAATTAAAAGAATACACGCATGAGGCAATGAGGCATTATTGCCTTTCAGATTATATTTGAAACAAGTTTAAGTTAACATATGGTAAAAAAAGTGCCAATGCAACAAAGTTTTTCTTACCTATTAATATTAATGTTAGATCAGCAGAGGCTTCTCCACTTGTATTTTTGAGCTTAATTTTGTAGCTGCCAACATCACTTTCTTCTACCTTCTTAATGGTAAGACTGGCTGAACTTTCGGTCAAGGATGGAATGGCCTGCAAATTATTTACAGAATTGGATTTAATTGGAAAATAATTGAAATTCAATATTTAGATTTAAAAAACAACCAAAAGATTAGAATACATACTTTCTTAGATTTCTTTATTACTGTCCCATTCACAGACCATTCGTCTGTTGGAGGTGGAGTAGAAATGAAATTGACTTCCATTGATACATCACTACCCTTCTTTACTTTGTACTCATTCTTAGGTACTTCAATTATTGGAATGGCTTGAGACACTAAACATAGGGGGATGATTAGACAGGAGACAAAAGTAATCCATGAGATCAGAGACCTACATAATAAAACAAGCAGCAACCCACCTTCTACTATTAGTTTTGTGGATGTCTTGGCACTTAGCATGACACAACTGTAGTCTGATTGGTCCTCAATTTTGACCTTTCTGATTACTAGTCTGCGGATAGTTCCTTCAGAAAAGAATGTAAAGCGTTCAGTTTCTTTGATTTCTTCAGATTTCCTGTAAAAATGATTTGCATGAAAATTAATTTGTTGTATTTTGCAAATGAGTCCATAACGGGGCATTAGCCCTCTGGACATACTTCTTTACCAATAAAATAAATTGAAAAGAAAAAGGTTCATTAAATTTATTTAAAACAAAATTTGAGTAGCTGTAAATACTTACTTAAACCATTTGACCTCAACATCAGGCTGGGATAATTCTACTGTTAGCGTAGCTTCAGCCTCAACTGGAACTCGAATAACTTCAGGCAACCGCATAGTAAATGTGACATTTGGCTCTGAAACAGTCATAGGTATTTATGATAAGCATGTATTTTATTGCCAATACAATTACCCACTATAAAGGTATTAGGATATCTACCTTGAACAGTAAGTCTTGCACTTGTTGTCTGGTCACCAACTTGACAGGAATACACTGCTGCGTCTGAAAGCTCTGCATTGTAAATTTTCAGCTTTTGACGTTTACCATCGATTGCCAGTTGAATGTGCTCAGAAAATTGAAGCTCCTTCCCATCTTTAAACCACCGTACAAGGGCATCTTCTTTAGTGAGTTCTATGTCTAAAGTGGCCTTGTCTCCTTTGGCAACTGTTGTATCTTTCAATTTTGTAATAATTTCAGGTGGCAACTCTGTAAGCAAAAAAAAGCAAAACAAGAAGTAATAAGTCAAAGCTTGCTCTTTCATATCTGTTTGGGACAAAGCAGTTTGGGATAGTACTTACCAATTACAGTAACCTCTGCAGAGCACTCTTGATCTCCTAGTGCACATGTGTATTCACCTTCATCATGAACTGAGGTACTACGAATAAGAAGTCTCCTAACACCTCCCTTTTTCTCAAATACAACCCGATCTCGTACTTCCTTCAACTGCTCTCCATCCTATAATTGGAACACCCAGGCATTTAGAACAACATAGTGAGGTGATTAATCGCACAAGAAAATGCATGCATGTTCATGTCTAATATGGTACCTTGTGCCAAGTAACAACAGCAGTATCAGATGAGACCTCCACCTCCAAAACAGCAATTTCTCTTTCTTTCACCTCTATATCTTCAACTTTGCGAACAAATTCTGCTTTGATTTCTGTGTAGGCAGAAACAATCCAAAAATTAGATATATACTGGTCAATTCACTGTAGTTAGATTACAAAAATTATACAATAACAATACAAACCATTAACTGATACTGTGCACTCTGTAGACTGGTCTTTAACTTTACAAGTGTATGTGCCAGCATCAGAGGGTGAGGTATGCTTTATCAGTAAGCGATGAGATTTGTTTTCTTGGACAATTTCTCTATGATCCATACCACTCAGTTCCTTTCCGTTATGATACCACTTTGTAGATACTGTGTGAGATGTTTCACATTCCAGTTTTATAGAGCTGCGCTCATCAACTACAATGGATTTTTGAAGTTTCTTTGTGAATGTTCTGTAAGGGAATAAGTTTTTAAGTATTGGAGAGAAGACAGGAAATAAATGTTTTGAACTATCTTCAGAAGTTGTAGGTGAAGTACAAAAGAGTATACTCACACTTTGTCCACATCTACTGTGACACGAGCCCCATGAGAGGCTTTACCACTGGGATTGCTGGCTAAGCACTTGTAATCACCAGCATCCAATTCAGAATCTGCTTCAGTAACTTCCAAAGTGACAGTTGAACCATCAAATGTTTCCTTGATACGCTTTGATGGAAGAAGCGGCTCATTGTTTCTGTTCACATCAATCATTTATTAGTTAACTTACTTTTTATCATTAACTATGGTTAACTTGCGACTGTAGCCAGATAAAATTGCCAACTAACCTGAACCATGTTATCTGGGGTGTTGGATTACCAGTAACTTTAGCAACTAGTTTGATGGTACTCTTCTGTTTCACTTTTTGTTCCTGGAAACGTTCAATAAAGAGTGGAGCCTCTGGGCGCGGCAATTCTGAAAATCCACAAAGTAAGACAAGTAATGAATAAGTTGATCTGCTCATGATCAATTTGTTTTATGAAGAAAGTATTTTTTTTTTTATGCAAGATATAATTTAAAAGTATATTTAAATTTAATCATGACCAAAAGCCTTTCTTACATTTTATACTGAAAAAAATTATTTTGCAGAAGAAAAAAGCAAACATTAAAATAGTCCAACAAACAAAAAAAATTAAAGGTGTAAAAGGACTTTAAACGTACCCTTTGGTGATCCTGTTAAGGACTTTTTCTTGGGCAAAGGTGGTTTTTTGTCAGTGAAAGCTGTGATTAAAAGCCAAGCAAAGCATTACATCATAATATTAGCATGAGGCACTGAAGCTAAAATACTTCTTTACCAGAACTAGTGCCCGGGTGATACACTCTAAATGGGCAGTGACAAAGTTTGTACCTAGGTTAGATGTGCCCTTGCCCTTGTGCACATCTTCGTCAGATACACATTTGTCTGTACGGACGGAGGTACAAATTGTACCTAGGCTAGGTACAAATGCTATATTTTTTATGTAACTTAGGTACAAATTTGTATCTGATTAAGATGTACACAAAGACACATGTTGCCAACGTCCCTTGCCATTGAGTGTGTATAAAGAAATCAAACTCTCACCCAAACAAGCTCAACTTAAACCGGCATTGAGCGCTGCGCGCTTGAAGCGGAGCTGGCGGAAGCTTAGCGCCTGCGAGACTCGGGGTAGGCCACCCGCAAAGCACACATGCACAACAGGCAATGCGGTGCCTACCTACCAGGCGTTGTACGACCTCAGGTATCAGCTGAAATTGGCAATTGTGCTTCATATGCACACGGCACACACGAACTTCGGGTGCTTTAATGTTTCCCCTTTAGCCCTGCCCTAGATAAGCGTGATACACTAGTATATGAGAGAGAGAGAGAGAGAGAGAGAGAGACAGAGACATACGCAGACAGAGAGCGAGCTCATACCAGAGGGTACAGAATTACCTATAGCACCATGCAGCTCTGAGTCAAAATAATTATTATTAGCAATTTGCACCAATCCAAATATTTGTTAAGAGAAAATGGCGAAGCCTTTTTGAGAAATCCTTAATTTACCTTCAACAGTCAGTGTTGCAGTGGTCTCACACTTGCCGACTTCATTAACAGCCTTCACCGTGTACTGTGCCGAATCAGTGGCTTTCGGCTGGATAAGAGTGAGAGTATAGGTGTCCCCATCCGATTTGGTTGGCAGCTTAGGTGATGCTTTGCCATCCTTGTACCATGTAACCTTAATTATTCAGACAAGAGAGATCAGTTAAATTTGTCGTTCGTACTTTATGTACCGGGTGATTCCGAGAAGACACAGGTGCGGGCGAGTTTGCCAACCCAAGGGGCTATGGCGCCTTACGGGCAGAGCGGGTAGGCAAACCCGTTCGCTCCTGCGTCTTCTCTGAATCACCCGATATATCTGCAATAATGACGAATTTAATAATTGAATTAATAATGAGATGATATAGGTCTACCTTGGGCTTCGGGTTGCCAACAATCTGAGTGCTGAGAACAGCACTGTCTCCTTCGCAAATAGTGACACTCTTCAGGGGCTCCAAAATTTGTGGGCCTTCCTTCTCGCCTGTCTGGACCTGATAACGGACAAGAGCAGAGAAATAAGCAGTCAAAAAGAATGTGCAATTCTTTGCAATTCAATTTTCCGTCTGGTTAACTATGAATCAATACTTCGATTTTAAGATAGGTATTAATGCATAAATAAAAAGAATAGTTCAGTGTTCCGGGTGTCCAGGCTAAGACGTATGGGTGGGGGAGCTGCCACTTCCCCGCCACCCGCCCCGCGCCTGCTGCCCCTGTAGACAGTGCACAGGCAACCCAACGTACTGGTATGTCTTAGCCTGGACACCCAGTACCACTAAGTACGGGCAAGTTACAACACTCTCATCCCGTTTTCTACTGACTTTTTGCCGCCCTTTGTCAGTACTCATGTTAGGTTTTTATGCAGCAGGAATACTGACTTTAGAATACTATGCGCACGCGGATTACAAAAACCGCGTGCGCATACCAAAAAGCGCTAGATTCACACGACGCGTGCGAAAAATAGCAGAATCGTTATGCGCACGCTGCACATTCATGGGCCCAGCGGGGGCAAGCACTTTATGTATGGTACAGAACGCGCTGTCTGCCAGCCGTGTTCGCTGGACGAGTGGACAAGGGCGTGCACGTCTATTTTAGAGTTCCAGGTTCAAGTCTTGATGAAGCTAGGGTAAAAATGCGTTCAAATAATTATTTTGACCTAATTCGCACGATGCGTTCGCATATAATGTTTTACGATAATCGTACACGCATCGTGCTAATACAGAAATATCTTCAAAATGCACGCTGCGTGCGCATAATTTTTTTTAGGACAGATTACACGCTGCGTGTTATCTACCCCTAAATAGCTATGCGCACGCGGAATTTTCTTTTAAGCGTGCGCATAGTGGAACGAAGAGAATAGACACGATGCGTGCGGACTACGGCACAATCGTTATGCGCACGCGGGGAAGTCAGGGGCCTACGGAGGGGGGCAGTTCATAAAGGGTACAGAACGCGCTATCTGCCAGCCGTGTTCGCTGGACGAGTGGACAAGGGCGAGCACGTCTATTTTAGAGTTCCAGGTTCAAGTCTTGATGAAACCAGGGTAAAAAATAATTATTTGAACGCAGTTTTTACCCTGGTTTCATCAAGACTTGAACCTGGAGCTCTAAAATAGACGTGCTCGCCCTTGTCCACTCGTCCAGCGAACACGGCTGGCTGATAGCGCGTTCTGTACCCTTTATGAACTGCCCCCCTCCGTAGGCCCCTGACTTCCCCGCGTGCGCATAACGATTGTGCCGTAGTCCGCACGCATCGTGTCTATTATCTTCGTTCCACTATGCGCACGCTTAAAAGAAAATTCCGCGTGCGCATAGCTATTTAGGGGTAGATAACACGCAGCGTTTAATCTGTCCTAGAAAAATTATGCGCACGCGTTTCTGTGCACAAAATTCCGCGTGCGCATAACACAAATTGTTATATGTGCACGCATTCCGCGTGCACATAAGTTTTCCTTGGCTTATGTACACGCAGCGTGTACATAATATCGGTCATTCAATTAAGCATTTTCTTGAGCCACCACGCACCCCCTAGCGTACGCTACGACTGTATCAGCTTAGCGAGTTTGGTCGCGACAGCACGACAGCACCTATTAAATCTCCTTATTTCAGCCGAAATTTTCTTCTTTCGTCAATAGATATTAAGTTCTGATGTACATAAGTAAGTTTTGATGTACAAAAAGAGAAAATTCCGGCTGAAATTAGGAGATTTAATAGGTGCTGTCGTGCTCGTGCTGTGCTGTCGTGCTGTCCTGTCGTGACCGAACCGCTTAAGCTGATACAGCATACGCATAGCGCGGCGCGGCGCGGATCGCGGGCGCGCGGAGGCGGGGAGGCGGGGAGGGGGGGGGGAGGCCCCCATCCCTTCTCACGCTTGCAGAAGCGTGCGTTGCGCTGAGCGTGGTTCTTAACTTTCTTAACTGAATATAGTTTGTTTGTGGCCACATTTTTACAGGGACGTGCAAAGTTGAGCTCCCGCACTCGGGCGCTCTGGGCGGGCCACCGTCCCCACTCAGCTGCTTGGCGGGCTGGCCTATCCAGCACTTGGCAGGCGCTATCGTTAGCGTTGCCTCGCGGGGAGGCCACCGGTTATAGGTCGGTGGAACCCCCCAGCGGGGCAAGCCCTGTCGCCCTACGGCCTACGGGGCTGTACTCCTTCCTCCCCCTCTGTCCTTGGTAAGCTAGAGGACACTAAATCAAAGTACCAACCATAACACTATCCAATCACCCCTTCATTAACGCTCCACCAGATACCCTCTCACTCGTTAATAATAATTAAATACTGTAAGGCCTACGGGCAACAGCACACCAACCCATGTAAATCCAAATGTAACAATTTGACGTCAATAAAACCATTTTAACAACTGAACTCGGGAGTACGTACATTCTGAGGACGCATTTATCAACCTTATTGATTATAAACAAAATGCGCCATGAAAACGTTTCACTGTGTGGGCTCCTTGAGTAATACTGGAACACTGAATGCCCCTCCAGGAAAATGTTTTCGTCGTGAAATCGTATTCAGTAAATACTGCATACATTGCAGCACTTTCACACTAACTGGATTTGTATCTTTTATTTGTACGAACTAAAGCAATCAAATTTTTTGCAAACATTTGTGCGTTGATTTGAACACTTTTGTGCATTCATTTGTAGGAAAATCATACACTTTGTCGTACAAATTTGTTCGAAGCGAAACGAAACGTAGGTTAACTTAGCGCAAACATTTACACGATAACATACAAATACATTTAGTGTGTTAATTCCCGTGGCACGATGACGGCACAATAACATCAACCACCAAGACGTCTCTGTTTTTGACATCGCAAGATACCGCTAAGGTGACCGAGGAAACCCATCGATTCTGGGCGCACGGAAAAAATGACTTTGTTGTGACCTAAGCTGGAGTTTGTTCTATTCCTACAAGTGTCCGGTCCGTGACAACCAACTCCTGGATGTGATTGTGGGATTCTCGAATAATTCATACTATCAAATTTAGCCTATCGAATAGAGTTGATCCCCACAGCAAAGTCTTGTTTCCCGAGCGGTTGTAAGCCCAGGACCCGGTCGTGTCGCCTCCCAGTGTGTGCTGCCACGCCCCAGTCGCCTGGATTCTACTGATTGTTGGAGAACCTCCATCCTGCATAAAGCACGAATCAATAAAGTTACTTACCTTCACAGTTATACTCATGCTCGCCTCTCCCTCTCGATTCCTTGCCACCACAGTATAACTTCCTTCTTGGCCCTGCGTTATCTTGGATATATGCACAACACTAGAGTAGGAGTGCATGTCAGAGTCCGTGCTTACGGTCACGTTCTTTTGCGTGGTAAGTTCTTTCCCATTGAAAAACCACGTGACCTCTGGCTCTGGAATCGCCACAAGTCTGCACTCAAGGTCCACGTCCTCGCCGACAGGAACACATCTTGCTTTTGGTTTTCGAGAGAACGTAGGCGGAATTCCCTCCAGAATGTCGGCAAGAGAAGATTCTCTGAAACAAATTAGATTTGATAACAATCGCACGCCCCTCGAAAGATCGAGTAGAAACTGCCCTGCTTTCCTGCTCTGCAGTACCAATAATTCGAGATTCGAATCAACAATGGTTCGTCACCGAATTCTGGATAGGTACCATATTTCAAGTGCCTGCATTTTGATTTCCCATTCAGTAAAACTGCACGCTGCCATATGCGGTGGGTGGTGGGTGGTGGTCCCTTTACTTCGAGTACACGGCCAGAATGTAATACAGAGTATTACTAGTTCGTGTTTTCAAAAGAAAAAGAAATACACCACTCGATTCGGGCTCGAATATTGTTACCAGATTCGATTCGATTATTTTTTTGCCATATTCGATTCAAACGAATGCCAGGGGACAGTTCCAATTCAGATTATACTTGACATTTCTAAAAGTGGGAGCGAATTAAAAACACAACCCTAACCCGAAATTCTACTTTTAATATCGATTATTTTCAACAATATACATTTACAAATTATACTGCGACACACGAGGACGAGGGCTGCCTAACTCCATAAAAATGTGTACACCGGATTACCAAATTGTAAAGATTACCAATGATTACCAAAGATCACCGATGTATACTAGGTATGATCCACCTGCTTTCTAAATCGAAGCGGACATTTTTTGTTCCGAGAAAGATGCATTTTTGTGCAACTCTTTAGTAGTTCTTGATTCTTTATCATGCAAGTTACAAATTTGCACTCTATGATTGGCCAAATCAAGATTTTGTTCATAGGAGGGATGCAAAGATGCCATATTAAACATGCGCGTTGGCATTCAGGCAAGATGTGCACAAAAATTCATGTCTAAATCAACAAATTTGTCCTTTTAAAGGACCCTCAGGAGTGTGAGGATTACCAGGGATTACCAGTTATTACCAAGTCTGTGTACACCTGATTACCACAGTTGGGCACGCCTCGGCGACACAACTAGGAGCGAGCTTATCTTGGTGGCTCTTTTTAACTACTACTTTCTCAGCTACCACCGTAACACATGTAGTACATGGGCCTGCTGGGTCCCGCCTGACTCTTTGCGAGGACCATCGGTAGCAGGTAGCCAAGCTATTACCGCAGTTAATCTTCTCAGTAAAGCTCGCTCCTGGTTGTGTTTTAGTATATGAAACTAAATTCGAATATGTCGTATAAGTGTACTCACCTCGACATGGATTTTCTTGATGGAGCAGTAATGTCCGAGCCGTGGTCTGACAGAGGTGCTTCGACGTAGAGCTCAGTTGTGCTTGACACAAAACCCACGCTATTCTTTGCAACACACGTGAAAAACCCAGCGTCTTCGGGAAAAACTTCACGGATAATTAGAGTGGCGACGTTGTCCTCGTCGTAAAACATCTGGAACCAAGGTCAATTTTAGTGAGGAGAAAAGACACAACATCGGCTGGGAAAGTGATGGAGAAGGGCGCGCCTGTACAATTTAAATGGCAAACGACAATGTTTCCATCGCAAGATGCTTCGGAGCGCACATCTTACATCTTGGAAGAATAAATTTTGAACCGCGAGTAGTCACAAATTTGTATCCCCGCACTGAAAAAATGTTTTGGTCCTGAGCACTAAACATTTTGTCCCAATACCGAAAGTTTTTGACGCTCTATACAGTTACCAAAGTTTTGTTGCCGAGCTTTAAAATGTTGTTGCCACGTACAGTAATTTTAGTGGCGGGAACTAATTTTTTTTGTACCGGGAACAAAGTAGAACGCACTAAACAACTGTCTAGTGCCCGGCAGGAAAAAAAAATTCTCAGTGCGGATGGGCCAATTCGAGGGTTTTTTAATTCTTACGCAGTGCCCCTTTTGTTGGTAAGTTTTTTTATCAAGCAAGGGGAAGGGGTATCGATTACACAGGCCTTGCAGGACTGCTGTCTTAAAAATACCTGGAAGTCAGGAGAGGGTTTAATTATTGCAGTTTCTCTGAACCATGTGATCTGGGGCTTCGGATTGCCTTCCACTCGGCACTCCAATTGCACAGTCGCGCCGTCAGGTACGTGCTGGGGCTGGAGTTTTACAACAAAACGTGGAGCAGAGACGGATTGACCCTGTGCTGGTTCTGTGAAAAGTTTGGTTGTCACATATTATTTTAATGTAATAACCGCAGAATATTGAAGATGAGAAGAAAATCTCCTTACTTTCAAATACTGGCAGCTTGTCAATCTTCTCATGGAGGCTGTGAGTCAAATGGTGAGTATATGAAACCTCGTCCTTTAGAAGCTTTGCAGGAACCCAACCCTTCTCTGCTGTCAGTGTTTTCCGTACGAACCACCAATCAGAATTATGACTCTCTGTAAACATAAACCCAGGTTCAAACATAGTTCATCGTTACGGAGAGATATCGCACGCATTCGCAAATGGGTAATATGATACCGTACCTAAAACGTAAACCCGTTCTCCTTCAACCAAATTCATTGCATCGTCGTTTTCGGCGACATATGAACTTATAGAATAAAGAAGGTCTCCGTCTTGAACTTCAGTAATGATGACGTCTACTTGCTCAGCTGCAAAATAAGTTAGGCGAAAAAGTTAGAAAATATGCAGTTGAAAATTACAATTGAAAAATGTAGCATATATCAACTCCGCATTGAGACAGCAACACATTGTCCACAAAAACAAGTTTCACACTTACAAGGACAAGTGGAAATCCTTTGAAACGACCCCAAACTTCCCCACCAAACTATTAAAGGTGTGAATTTTCCTTATGAAAATTCGTGAATTTTCCTTATGAAAATTCGTGAATTTTCCTTATGTAAATTCGTGAATTTTCCTTATGTAAATTTGTGAATTTTCCTTATGAAAATTTGTGAATTTTCCTTATGAAAATTCGTGAATTATCCCTTTGGAAATTCACACACTTCATGTGTACGAATTTCATGTAGAATGAAAACTCAACAGTGCGCATTGCACACTGTATATACCGCGTATGCACACGTTTGATACCGAGTGCATGGGCATGACGTTTCCACTATTTCCTATGAGACGAATAGCTTTGGAAAATGATGAAATTTTTAGTTTCCTCGTGAAAAGAGCTCTCAAACGAGCTCACACAGAGCTCACCTAGAGCTCTCAAACGAGCTCACATGTGATAGGGTTCAAATCGGCCACAACCGAAAATCTTTCGAATATTTTGGCAAATCCTATTTACTTTCAGACAAAAATTTTGTGAAGTGGGTGACATTACCAGTTTTTTATGATACTATATGTACTATATGTGTACTATATGATAGGGTACAGATTAACCTCCACCGAAATTTGAACCCATCACATGGTTGCTCGTTTGCGAGAGCTCTTTTCACGAGGAAACTGAAAATGTCACTCACTTGCCAAAGTTTTCCATCTGAAAGGAAAAAGTGGAAACGTGTGCATGCCATGCGCACTGTATATGACATTACGTGTGCATTCCATGCACACTGTATCTAACGTGGGCATACCATGCGCACTGTATATGACAAGACGTGTGCATGCCATGCACACTGTATCTAACGAGGGCATCTCATGCACACTGTTTTCAGTGTACACACTTACAAGTGTGTGGCATTCACAAATTTACAAGTGTGTGACATTGACATACTTAGAAGTGTGCGGCATTATACACTAAATTACCATGGACATTTTTGTAACCAGTTACGGACGTTTTCAAACAAAACTGATCTTATTACAAATTTTACTGTCATTTGTGGGGTGTTAGATACAATTTGTTACTGGCTAGTTCTCTGGAAACCCAAGTGTGTACTTGAATGCACAATATTCTGCATACCTATATGTATGCAGAATATTCCGTGTACTTGGTCAAGTTTGCAGAATATTTTGTGTACTTGGTCAAGTACACACTAAGTCTCCTGCATAAATGTATGGGGGTTTTAGTGTGTACTTGACCAAGTACACAGAATATTCTGCATACTTGAACAAGTACACAGAATATTCTGCATACTTGCCGAGTACACGGAATATTCTGCATACATGTAGGTATGCAGAATATTCTGCATTCAAGTACACACTTGGGTTCCCAGAGTTACAATTGGAAACTTACAACCCACAATATTGTATCTAGCTTAGTTATGATTATAGACGCCCATAGCTAGTTACAAAAAGTGGCCATGGTTATTTGGAGTGTATAATTCTGCACATTTTAAAAATAAATATATAAATATATATGACTAAAATAAATCAACTTATGCTAGTTCTCAATTTTTTGGCCTTACCTTCTTCCTTGATCACCTCGGCCTCCTTTGTTATGCTAAGAGACACATCCTCTGCGAAAACAAAATTATTGGTCAATTAGGAAAACATTAATAAATTAAAGTAATAAAAACTGTCGTAGCGAAACAAAGCGTGAAAGCATTGGGCCAAAGTAACACCTTACAGAGAAAGCATTGTTGTTCTCGTGATTTAGGAGGGGAGAGTGTGAAAATGACCCGCAATATTGGCTTTACAAAATCAGAGAGCAGACTACAAGCTGTGCCGACTGGTTATCCTCGTATACTGAATTTGGTTGACTTTTTTCCTTCTTGTTCGCCATTATCATGCGAGTACACTTGCGAATGATCTTGGCAATAGGTAGGAATGCTAGAGCTGTATAAATGTCGCAGTTTGCCACCTTAACCAACTAGAGCCGTTAATATTGTAGTAATTTTCCAAAATTACACATTTTCAGCAAATTTTCTTACTTTTCATCCGATTTGGCTTTAAATTTTATCACGCGTTCTAAGTTTCAAAATTTAGGAATTAAACTGAAACGGTGTCATTTGAAAAGACAAGTTTTATACTTGCTACTGTAATAGGTCAAACTTTTTATGTAATAGTAAAAGGGTTAACCCTTTCGGGAACAATTCTGTAAATATCCGACCAAATGGATTATGGTGGCAAAATCTATAAGTTCTGCTGCTCTAGTATTCAAAATAATGGCCAGATAGAAAAAACCCTTTTGCACATGGAACCTACTTACAATATTGTAGTTGCCTATGCGCTAGCCGAAGAAGCTGTTGCTGTAGAGAGAAGAGTAGGTAACGGATGGGAAAATATTTGTACCCAAGGTAAATGCGTGTTTGCGCTTATCTTCAGCAGATACAAATGTTTATATTCTTGGAAGCTCAACTGCAGTTGTCGCATATCTGCTTGTAGTCTCTCTAGGTTATAGGGTTACTGTGTTTGCCTTGTTTGAACTGTCCGGTTACAGTAGTTGGTCTAATGCTGCGCAAATGCTCACCCATAAAAGTCAATACCTGCTAGACGAAAAATAGATATCTGAGTTTTGATTGGTTCAGTCGTAATTAGTTTAAAATAGGACTTCTAAAACAGGTTTCAGGAACTAAATTTCGTTTCCTTCGATCCGGTGGCCTCTGACCCGTTGTCCCGGATCGGGGAGACTAGGGTCAAGGTCATGTAACACAGGTCTCAAATGACCGAATTGGTGGTGGTAAGGGGGGGGGGGGAGCTTAACCACCGGATGTCAAATGCCTAGCTGATCGACGAAGTGCAAATTTGATTGTGATTGACGTTAATCGGTTAGTTTTAAAAAATGTATCTATATGGGACATAAGACTTAATAAAAACAAAGTTAAATCTTGTGACCGGTTGTGCTGTACGCCAGTAGATTAGCGCAAGGTTTATCGCGTTTCTCTAGCAAATGGACAACTACTTTTAGATACAGCAACATCATTTCTTAGCCCAATGTTAGCAAATGAAGCCTCTTTCATCACATTGAATACGGTGCTTCGGATTTTTGTTTTTGTCACTTAATCCCGCGGACTATTTGCAAATGTTCAGCAATGCTTTTTGAGCACTCTGGGTCACACCTAGTTGCCAAAAAAGAGTAACCAAACCGGCAAACTAACGGGCTCGACGCGGGGCATACGCTTTAGACCATCCTGCTTAAATCGTTAATCTTAAAGAAATGTGTATGTCGTAAGCAGCGGCTCTTTATAGCTCATAAGAAAGCAAGCTTCCTAGCCTTACAAACAATCGCTTTGCAATACAAAGAACGAAAATTGTTCGTAACGTTGCATAGCATTTAGTTCGTAGGCATTTTGAAGTGGATACGGCTCTTTTAAGAGCGCATTTTTATGCACGTCAAATGCGCATTTTATAAAGTGCACTGGATTTACTTAAGACGCACAAGAAGCTACGAACAACGCATTAAGAACAATAAAGCAGGCAAGCAGCATGTTTAATTATTAGGAAGCGGAGAAGCAGACAGGTACAATATTTTCAACTCTTGCAAGTTGAAAGCAGAAACGCCGTAGCAAATTTGCCAAGAAGCCATTGAACAATAAAGTAACAATTCTGACCTGTTTGTGCACTCGGCTCTGACGGTCTCCTTTTCGGTTTTGGCTTAAAGGCTAGTGACTCCTCCTCATAAACAACGGACTCTCTCTTTTCTTGGCGGAAACCAACCTGAATCTCTTCTTCGATGTCCTGAATACTGTATCGCTTTTCAGACGGTTTACGCTTCAATTTTATTTCAAAATCCTCCCGTATTTTTTCAGGTTGCAGCCCTTCGTCATCACTGATTTCTTCTATGACAGGACCACTCTCATCGTCTACTTCTTGAGTTATCTGGATAGTGCTTACACCTGCCTCTTCTCCAAAAGTCATGGCCTTTGGTTTCTTCAAACGAACTTTACCGGACATAGATATCTCCTCCTCCTCGTACTGCTGGAGTTGAATTTTAAACTCCTGTTCGACGTCTTCTTTCTTCTTTGTTGTCTTGGGTTTAAATATGACAGTCTCGATTTCTTCAGGTTGCTCTGGTACCGGCTTTTTAATTGTTATTGCTTCCGCTTCCTCTTCAATGGTAGGTGCTTTCGGTGTCTTTTTCTTTAAAGTAATAGACTCTTCAGTTTGGTCATCTTCCGTAGTCCGTTTAGGAATAGTCTTTTGTATTGTCACCTCCTCCGAAACCTCCTCTTTGGGGGGGCTCTTTGGTTTTTTCTTGATTAGTACAGCTTCTGACGGCTCATCTTTTACTTCCTCGGGTGCAGGCACAACCCGCTTTATTGTAACGGCATCAACCTCTTCATCCAGGGCAGGTTTGGACGGCTTCTTTATTGAAATAGCCACCTCTGGTTCGTCGATGCCTTCTCCCCCCGTTTCTGGGACCTCTTTCCTGATAGTAACTTCCTCGACTAATTCGGAAGCAGGCTTAGATTTCTTCCGCTTAATAGTGAGTGAGGCTGGACTTTCGACGACATCAGTAGGTTTCTCCACATCCTTTTTAATTGTCAATGTTTCAACGGTCTCCTCCATTTCAGGTAGAGACTTCCGAGTGAGTGAGAAAGATTCTACCGGAGTTTCCTCGGCCAGATCATCCTTAGGTTTTGTCGGCACTATTTTAGTAACTGTAATTTCTTCAGATGTATCTTCAGCAATAGGCAATTTCTTTTTCTTTTTCAATGTTACCTGAGCTGCCACTTCGTCTGCAGGTTTACTTGGTCGAACAGAAAAGCCAACATCAAGTTCTTCCGTTTCTTTAAAGGCTGGTTTAAGAGTAATATTCTCCACTGGACTTTCTTTCTCTTCATCCGGACTCTCCTCAGGTTTCTTCTCAAGAATAACTCGTTTCAGTGTAATATCGGTGGGAGCGTCTTCTGGTGCAGGGCCCTGTTTCTTCTTAAGGTGGATGCCGGGTATATCATCTTCAGGCTGTGGTTTGGGTACACCAGGAACAATAGGCGTCTCGATAGATTCAGGCTGAGGTTTCTCTTTCTTCGGTTTCTTGATGGTTGGCTTCTCTTCAGGCACCTTTTCTTTTTCTGGTTTTTCGTATGGCATCTTCTCGGGCCTCTCTAGATCCACGTCATCGTGAGGTATATCATACGGTTCAAATGGTTTCAGTTCAACTACAGTCTCTTCTTTGGGTTCCTTGGGAACTTCTTTAGTGGTATCTTTTTTCTTTGGTACCTTAACCTCAGCAGCTTCGACGTCGTCTTGTTTCACGGGCACTTTACGAAGTTTCACCTCTTCGGGTTTATCTTCCTCCTCTGGTACTGTTCCCTTTTTCAATTTCAGCTTGAGCTCAACGGGTTTGTCCTCCTCTGGTTTATCCGGTTTGGGAAGTACTTGTTTCGCAGCCTCAACTGGCACTGGTTCCTCAGGTTTTCTTTCGTCTTCGAACGGAACATATTCTTCAAGTTCTGGTCGCTCATCGTCCTCTGGTAACTTGACCTTCTTGCGTTTCTTTTTCAGAACCTTCAATGCTTCTTCAGCGTTTCGTGATAGCTCGCCAGCGTCACGTTTTGCCCCAACTTCAGTTATAACTGGTATTTGAATTTCTGGGGGATACGACACTTTGGTTATTCGGCTCTTCAACAAAAATTTAGGCAGTGAAACGGATTTTCGGTCCTCCCGTTTTACAAGTGGTGCTTTCTTTAATTTGATTGTGGCAAATTGTGGTAGCTCCTCTATAGGTATAATTTGAACTTTTTTGGGAGCCACATCGGTCCGCACAATAGATTGCTTTTCCAATCCCTTCAGCTTTTCTTTCTTCACTTCCTCTGCCTGTTTTTTCTTTGGAATAAATGGTGTTGGCTCGTACTTTTCAAGGACCGGTCTTTCAATTTCTTCATCTAAGTCAACGTCTAGCACAATGTCGGCTTCAGGCTTCGGGGTTTTCTTCTTCTTTTTGGGCACTTTCTTCTTGACCTCAGTATCTTTCTTGTCCGATTCTGGGAGTGGAGTTTCTGAGATTTGATCTTCAACGACTGGCTGTTCTTCTAGACGCCCAGAAGTCTGCGGAAGATCAGCAACTTCGGGTTTCTTTGGTTTCTTTGGAACCTTTACTTTTGGAGGTATTGGTTCAACTATGTCTTCCTTTTCTTCGGGCACCTCTGGCTTTACTAGATTAATGTCCTCCGGTAGTAATATAGCAGCAGCATTCTCCTCCGGGACTATGGCGGCAAAATCACCTGAAAATAGCAAGTTTTAATTAAGTACATTCAAACGGTGTTTTTCATACCCTACCTATTTTACTGTCGGCAGTTGATTGCTGCGCATTCCTCGAATACAATACCATTGCAACCTCAGCTCTTTTCTTTTTAGTGTTGTAAAAACACTTCGTTGCAAACGAATGTAATTTATTTTTGAATTTCGTGTTACTGTTAGTCTGTCTCAATTTTAAAGTGTACTCGAGAAAAGGTCTTCCAAAATGCATCCAAATTAGTGAAGTGGAATGTGTTTGAAACTAAACTCATGTCATACATACAACTTGCCGTAGTGGAACGACAAGAACGACAAGCCTCTTAATAGTTTACTCATATCATACACTAGGCGGAAGTTTAAAAGCAATACCGATCAATATCTGAAATGCTCCAATTGGAAATGAATTGAACTAGAGATTTTGGGACATGCGAAAGATGTGTTGCCCTTTGGAAACCTGGTCTTCTTTGCCCCTGACAAGCCACTTCTTTCTGACGTGTGCTCAATTCCAACCACATTTTTTTAAACTAGCGACTTGTCCTTTGGACTGAGGCTTTATCAGCTTAAGGATCTTAACATCTTAACATCTTAACATCTTAACATATTAACAGATGCATTTTCATTGTATTTAGCACTATGGCCATGATTTTTAGTTATGAATGTGTTTAAATTTGTAAAAAAAAGCCGACCGGAACGTTTAGAAAGATTTGCGATCGCTTCAGTTCGATGGAAAGCAGAGATCCGTGGTTTCGCCGGATCTTAACACAACTTTCAAGGAAACTATGAACCATGATTCTGTCGATCGTTGTAGCGATCCCGGATGTTTTGGTTGTCATTTTAGCGAATATAAAGACATTCAAATGTAAAACCATAGTCATACTATCAAATATGATGCAAAATGCATGTGTTAATATGTTAACATGTTAAGATGTTAAGATCCTTAAGCTGATAAAGCCCAAATATAGCCTAGACATGTGCCTGTCGAGGGACGAGGGCGAGTTTTGATATGTTTCAGTTTCATCTATAATAGACCATTCCACCGCATGGGGAAGAAAGAAAAGAATCAAAAAGTACCGGAAACAGTACCGAAAACCAGCATGTAGATCATTTGTGTACACCTCTATGGCACACCAACAAGTCCAGAATAATTATCTTGGCCAAGAAAACTAGAAAAAGTGAACGATTTGATCTGTTTATCAATACTGTTTCCGGTGGTTTTTGATTCTTTTCTTTCTTCTTCCACAGTCGGTGGAATGGTCTATAGAGAAACTCGGGAAATTGCTGTCAATTTTCAACCTATTTTTCACTGTGGTTAAAGCCGACCCAACAAAATCGTCCCGCCTGGAGCTCACACGCTAGTACTAGCAAATGTCGAAATGAAACAATGTGTTCGTTGACACGCATAAGGAACGTATACCGCTTTTAACACTTAAATGTCAAAATTATGGGTTTTGTAAAAAAAGGAACTGCACTTGGATACATGGTCTCTTTCCAATCGATAAATGTACCTGGGTAATAGTTCTGTGGTATTCAATTACCCCTCCCCAGTGAGAAATAAATATTTCTTCACCGTCGATTCGACGTCGAAATAGTCGAATTAACGTTATTCTATACCCCAAATCCACATCTTTTCGATAATTCAACGTCAATTCAACGTTGAATTTACGTTTTTATTTCTCACTGGGCTCGAAACATGAATGATTTTAAGCTCACCTGTTGGCTGAATGTGCTGTCTAGTGATGTCAATTGGAGCGATCGCCTCTGTTTCCTCGGATATCATGTCAGGAATAGAAACAGCAGCGATCATTTCACACATGCTTTGAATGTTTTCCGTTGCTTGAGCCCAAAGATGTTGCTGCGTGTCAAGAGACGTAGTGATGTCGTATTGAACGGTATCCACGTACTCCCTCCCCTCCCCTTCCCTCACTGTTAATGTTTTCACGACTCTTTCTTTGCCATCTTTCATTGAAGTTTTTTGATGTTTAATTATTTTTTGCTTTCTTCCTGGCTGTGAAATTGTAATGACTTCTTCTCTTACAACATTCTTCTCTGTGTTAATTATGTTTGGTGTTAACGATTTAGCAAGATTTAATCCTAATGGGAATGATTCCTCATCATTAAGGTACTCTTCGACAGCTTCCTTGACTGGAAGGCCTACAGAATAATGAACTATGTCTTCTGCGGTGGGTTTCCCGTTTTCTTCTACCTGTGTAGTTTCTTGGACGTCCTTGCTATTCTTACCAAACTTTACAACTCTTCGTTTGGTCACCGTTTTCGTATCTTGCATAAATCCGGCAGGTGTAGTTGTCATTTCAGAAATGACCTCAATTGGCGAAAGAGAAACGAACTCTGCTTCAACAGGTACAAACAAAGACGCGCCTTCGAGGTTCCAAAACTCTTCTGAAGGCTGCCTTGGAGCAATTGTTTTAACATATGCTGTCGTAGTCTTTAATTCCACCGTACCATCATTAGGTGTAACTGTGACAGTGCTGTGCACTTTCTCCTGATCCCCCTTTCTGGTCTTTCGAACACGTTTCTTGATCAAATTTACTTTGTCGCCATCGAATACCGTGATCGCAACTTCCGTAACATTTACAATTTCTCTCTCCTCAACTGTGTACTCAGGGAAACATTTTGGAGGAGATGACTCGGAAATCGGTTCAGCTTCAAGTAAATCATATTCAACAACAGTCTGTTTTGGAAGGCCATCTTTTTCTTCAATTGCAGTTGTATCAATGACATTTACAGATCCTGATCGGGTAGTTCTCACAACCTTTCTTCTACATGTCTTCTTAGGTTGGCCATCCTTAATCTCTTCTGTAATTTCCTCAATTATCCGCACAGCATTTTCGGTTCGTGGGATGTCATCTAAAAATTCGGGAGGAATGTCGGGCACAGGGAGAGGGACTACAGGTTCACTGACTTGTAGTTGAGGGGTATCATCTGATTTCAGTTGCCCTTTCTTTCTCAAAGTCCGTTTCTTTGGAACTCCCTCTGTTACTTGAGGGCTTTCCTCTGTAGGCGCAACTAAATTCTCTGAGGGAAAGTCAATTGAATGCAGTTCTTGCGGCTGTTCATCAGCTGGATTGGATGGTGTGGAATCATCTACCTTCCTACGCCTTCTCTTGACGTCATTGTCTTTAACGGGTTTTATAGACAAATCTTCTTCGGCTTCAGGGCGCTCCTCGGGTTTAAACTCCAGCCCCGTCTCTGGGGCAGCAGGAGCGGGCTGGTCGACATCCTTCTTGAATGGCTTCAACTTTATTTCCTCGGTTGGAACTACGGGTGGGACACCTTGCTTTTTCCTGAGTGTGATTTCAGGCGTATCATCCTCAGGCTGTGGTTTGGGTACACCGGGAACAATAGGCGTCTCGATAGATTCAGGCTGAGGTTTCTCTTTCTTCGGTTTCTTGATGGTTGGCTTCTCTTCAGGCACCTTTTCTTTTTCTGGTTTTTCGTATGGCATCTTCTCAGGCCTCTCTAGATCCACGTCATCGTGAGGTATATCATACGGTTCAAATGGCTTCAAGTCAACCGATCCCACTTCTAAGGGTTTCTTTGGAACTTTTTCTTCAGCTTTCTTCTTTATGGGCTGATCTTCCTCCATTGTCCCTTCAACTACTTGTTTTCTAGGTATCTGTTTGAGTTTAACTTCCTCAGGCAACTTATCCTGACCAGGTAGTCGGCCTTTTCCCAATTTTATCCTACTGGCATCGGGCTGGTCCTCTAGTACCTTCTCTGTATTTGTAGGCGCTCCCTTGATCAAGTCTTCTGATGTCACAGCTTCAGGATTCTTTTCGTCATCGTACGGAACGTATTCCTCCAGGTCTGGTCGCTCTTCGTCTTTTGGAAAAACAGTTCTCTTTCGTTTCTTTTTGAGGATCTTAAAAGCTTCTTCCGCGTTACGGGATAACTCACCTGCATCACGTTTAGCACTTATTACAGCAATGACTGGTATGTGCACTTCTGGCGGGAAGGATACATAGTTGATTCGACTTTTCAAGAGAAATTTGGGCAGCGAAATGGAACGTCTTTCATCTCTCTTCACTGGCGTCACCTTTTTCAACTTGATCGTCGCAAGCTGAGGAACATCTTCTACACGAACAACGTGGACTTTTTTTGGGCTTCCTTCACTTCGCACAATCGGCTGCTTCAGAGCACCTTGAAGCAAAATTTTGCGATCCTTCTCAGCCTGTTTCTTCTTAGAGATGAATGGTGTAGGTTCATACTTCTCAAGGACAGGCCTGTCGATTTCTTCATCTAAATCAACATCAAGTACAATGTCTGGTTTCTCGTCAACTTTCACAATTTTCTTTTTTTTCTTAGGTGCTTTTTTCTTTGGCTTTTCGTCGGCCGTCTCTAATGCATGATCGTCAAGTGCTTCGGAAACTTGAGGTTCAACTTCATCAGAAGGAACGTTGGGCACAGTTTCTTCACTGACAATAGTCAATGGTTTAGAAGGCAATTTCTTAAATCTCTGAATGACCTCCACTTTAGGTTGAGCCCCATCTTCACATGTTGTCACGGTCTCCGTGACAACAACATTGTCACCGGCGACTTTAGAAACAGTGCGCTTTTTAATTGATTTCTTCTTTCCGCCTTCAAGAACTTCACTTATTTGTTCAGAAACTTTTGCTTTGGGCTCAATTCCGTTAGCTTCAGGCACATACTCAGGGATCACGTTTGAAAATTCTGTCACCTCAACTTGAGGTAAACCGCCATCTTCGCAAACCGAAACTGTCTCGGTTACATGCTCCAAACCACCCCTTACCTTTCGCACGGTGCGTTTCTTCACGCTTTTTTTCTTACCGTCCTCAAAAATGTCACTTATTAATTCAGACTCCTGTACAAGGTCTGGTAAACTTTCAAAATCAGAAACGTCCTCTTCAGGAAATTCCACAACAGATGGACCAACGCAAACCTTATCAGAATCATCAGAACGCTGCAGAATATCTTCATCAATAATTTCTTGAATATCGGGTTTAAGGAT